ATTTTCACTTCCTTGTATGCTTTCTTCATTTCCTTTACTCCCTGTTTCATAGCATCCACCGTGGTCTTGGTGTCCTTCAGTGACTGGATGGTATAGTTGGCTTGTTCCATGTTAAAGGACTGTTGGGCAAGGTTGTCCCGCTGCTGTTCATACATCCGTTTTTGTTTTAAAACTCGTAAGGCTTTCTGCTTGACCATATTCTTTGCAGGACCCTCTCTCATCTTCTTGATTTGATCCTTGTACTTCACTAGCTCAGCGTCCAGCCGGGAAATTTTCTTATCAATAGATTCTGCCCTGCTGTCCACCGTGCCAATGCAGTCAGTCAGGCTGGGCGGCGGAGCTTTGGGTTTCGCTTTCCCAAAGAATCGGTTCATCTTGGTCAGCCGCGAAGAAACCAAACACTCTCAAAGACATTCTTAAGAAAGATGAAAAAAACTGTTGTCTTTTTTTAGCTGGAAGAACATGGAAGTGAAAAGTACTCTATGGGTAGCTTCAGGCCACTGTCTTGATTGGTGCTGAAAATGCGGCAGTTTTGTCTGTCACTGCTGGTTTGGTTTTTCTCCCTTTCTTCCTTTGCTTTTACATCATCCATGTTAATGTTAACACAGTGAAAAATAACATTTTAGTATTTGTCTTGATTGCTTTTATTGCTGGTTACTTTTGTTTGCTTGCTGGGACAAAATACCTGAAACCCAGAATTAAGGAAGGGAAGGTTTATGTAGCTCACAGTTTGTGGAGGTTTCAGTCCATAATCAGCTGGCTCCAAGGCAGATTGGCACATGACAGAGGGCAGCAGTTCATGGCTCAGAAAACAGCAGAACAGCAAGAGCAAAAAGGGAGGAGCATCAGCAGAGAGCAAGCCTCTTTCCTGCTCTTATACAATGCCTTAGGGCAGGTGTGGCACTCAGCATTGAATTGTGAATTAATCACAAACTCTAAAAGCCTACCCCATGACAGCATGAGGCTTTGGGGGAACATCTAGACACAAACCGTAACAGTATTGATGTGATCAAAATATGTGATATATTTTGATTTTCTAAACCACTCTTCGATAATTGCTGGCTTATTAATCTATACTTTGTTAGCCTTTATTGTCTTTTTAAAAAAATGTGTTTAGTACAGGGTCTCACTACTCAGCTCTGACGCATAGTTATCCTCATGTTTTCAGCCTCCCAAGTGCTAGGATTACAGGCAGGCTCCACTACACCCAGTCTCAGTCATGTCTCATCATGCCCCTGGGACAAGGCCAGCGTGTCACGCCTTGGCTCGAATCCTGGTCCTTGCACCGGCCTAAGCAAGCACTTTAGTGTGCTGAGCTATCTGGCTGGCCCCATTGTTACATTTGTTTCTCATTCACTTTGGTACCTAGAACTGTCATCAATTATTTAATTTATAATTACCTAGGAGAATTGGGTGGAGTTTTAGAAACTTTCTTTATACTTTCCATAGGATTTGACCACTAATATTTAAGTTATTTAATATTGTAGTAGTGGTTCCCACCTCAAAATCACATGGAATACTTTAACACCACTGTGTTGGTCCTAGGCCCCAATTACATTGGCTTGGGAATGAATGTGAATACTGAGGTTTTAGTTTAGGAAAGGAAGAAAAAAACAAAACAAAAACTAGCCAGGTGTGGTGGCACACCTCTGAAATCCCAGCACTCATGAGGGGGAGGCAAGAGGATATTTCAGGCCAGCCTGCACTGCATAGGCAGTGTATCAAAAAAAACAAAGCAAAACACACCCCAATTCTACATTAACATCTCTTGTCTTAAAAATGTGTGCCACAGGTTCACTACTACTGGTTTATAGTATTCTTTTTTTTTTTTTTGGTGGAACCAGGGATTGAACTCAGGCCCTTGCGCTTGCCGGGGAAGGGCGGGCTTATTCCACTGAGCCATCTCCCCCGCCCCTGTAGGGATTGAACTCATGTCCTTGTGCTTGCCAGGGAAGCGCTATTCCATTGAGCCATCTCCCCGGCCCTAGTATTCTTAATATTTAGGTAGTCTATAAAAAGCATATTAATTATTGATTAGATGTAACTTTCTTAATTTTAATAGTAATACACATTTCTCCAGCTGTTTATGTATTTAAAAATTCCTGTTTGAACCTGAAAGTTTTGATATAAATATATTCAAATGATTATCTCTGTTTCTTTTAGAATTAAAGCTGGGAGAACTGCTTCATGATAAGCTGTAAGTATATAAGTATTCTTTGAAATAGTGTAGTACAATGGTTTAATATTTTTTCCCTCATGTGAGATAATATTCCTTGAAGTCTGGGTAAACTGTATTTTTACAGTTTTTGTATTTCAAAACTGTAAAAATGGAATTCTGAACCTATTTTTAACTCTGATGGGCTATTTTGAGGCACCTGACCCTATTCGTGAAAAAGAACTGTGACTTATGGAGGATGGATGTACTGCATATGAAATTTCTTGAAGCAAAGATCAGTTGTATGCTGTATATGATAGGTGCCTAAATTTCTCTAATGAGAATCCCTGGAAATACAAAATTCTGTGAAAGAAACTGGCCAGGTATGGTAGCACATGAATGTAATCTGTCTGAGCGCTCTGGGAGGCTGAGCTAGGAGCATCTCAAGTTCTGAGCCCATCGTGGGCAACATAATGACTTAGTGAGATCTGGGTCAAAATAAAATATAGAGAAGGAATGTGGACTTATCTCAGTGGGAGGACCTTAAGTTTTATCCTCAGTACCCTTCGAAATAAGTAAAATAAAAGGAAATGCTTAACTACATTTATACTCTCGTAGGAAGTGTCAGTTTCTGTACTACTGTGGACAGTGTGCATTGCAAAGTTAAGAATGTGAAATTTTGAAATAATGCAGAAGATTGTATACCTTTTAGGGGTACAGGACCTGAAATTCAGTCCTTCTCAAATTTTAGGGTACACATTACTGGGTTGCACCTCTAGAGTTCTGTATTTAGTAAGTCTGGTATGGGACCACAGATTTTTAACTACTAACAAATTTCCAGGTGGGATATTTGACATTGCTTATTCATTTTAAGAATTTAAAGTATTTCCACAGTTGCTGTTACCAGCTCTTTTTTTTTTAATAGCCTTACACATTATTGAAGAGTAGTTTTTAATTTACTTGTTTCACTTTTAGAATTTTAATCTACCTGGAGTTTATTTTTTCAAATTGTATGAGTCGAAGATTTATTTTTTTCTGGATGCTTAGCCATTTGGGAACAGCCCATATGTCCATCAGTGAATGAAGGGATAAAGAAAATGTATTTACGTACAAGGGAATACTGTTCTACCATAAAGAATGATAAACTTTTTGAGATAAATGCATGCATCTCAAAACCATAACCTTAAGTGAAATCGATCAGACACACAAGCTTAAATACCACATTTCTCTTTCATGAGAAATCCAAAGGGTAGATACAGAGCAAAATGGAAGATAAGACTTTGGGAAGTTAGGAAAAACTTGTTTAACCGAGACTGAGGACAAGGAAGAAGGAAAGAAAAAGAGACTTTAATAAAAAGAGAAAGGAGTGAAAAATTGAGAAAAGCTTTGGTAATGGGGAGAAGGATTGAGCGGAGAGGGAAGGGGAATAGGGCAAAAAAGATACATTACATACAAGTACAAATCTCCATGATTATGATCATTATTTATGGCAGATGTACTTATTAAAAAAGAAAAGTTACTTTTTATTAGTACATGTTTGTTGTACATAGTATTTAAATTCCTTATGTGGAGTAGGCACTTGTACATAACACATCCTCCCATGCTTTAATTATTGTTGCTTTATAGTATTGTGTGGTATTTGGTGACAGTATTGTTGACACATTACTCTTTTAATTTGTGCATATTTTCTCTTGTAGAAGCACTTTGAAAAATGCTATTTGAGTTTGATTAACATTCATCAAATTTGTAGATAAGAATTATTTATAATAATGGTGTTATGTGATTATATTGTCAGACCATCTTAGATTGAAACAAAAATTGTAGAGAGACTGCAGGAAAGAGTCTGTTTTAAAGCTTCTTTTAATGTCTGACTGCTGCTTTTTATCTGAAAGAAATTACTTAACATGATGGGTTAGATGTTTTTATTTTCTCGGTAGTATAATGACTTAATAGGAAATCAGTAGTTTGATCCACAGGTTGCTCAGGCTTTCTTTGTGTTCTCTCATTTTTTGAAGTTTATCTTGGTTAATGCCGTACTTACTAATTAGTTTGTAGTATGTCACAATTATCCACTTCTGAGATGAATTAATCACAAATACCAGAGTTTTGAGATTTCTAGGTTTGTTTTTGAGGCAAGGTCATGCTTTGTAGTATAAGCTTGATTTGAACTTAACTGATGTGGACCAGGTTGGCCTTGCATTCATGGTGATCCTCCTACCTCAGCATTTTAAGTGATAGTATTGCAGGTGTGTGTCATCTTGCCTGACTTTTTTTCATTATATATTTGCCAAAATTTTGGGCATTGTAAGTTAAAGGTGTCAGATTAATTCTTTTTTAAGAAACAAAGTAAATGAAAAACAGTACCTGCTATAATGATTATTCCAAATACAACTTTCTGAATATTACAGGAAATTATGGAAGGCAAAATGAAATTTGTTAGGTGTTCCTCTTTTTTTCTCAAAAGTTTCTAATGTATAGCCTTTTTTGAGATAGGGTCTTGTAGTTCAGATTGGCTTTGAACTTACTGTGTAGCTCAAGGTGGGCTTGAATTTATGATCCTCTTGCTTCAGACTCCCAGATTTTGGGCTTACTGGCTTGTGCCACCCTGTCTGATTTTAATGCACAGTGTTTTTGAAGCAAGTATAAAAATATTTAATTTTTTTTCTTTCTCATAGTGCCTGTAAAATTACTTGAGTGAATACATGAAAAAATTTTTGCATTCATTGTTGGTTAATTGAGATGGAACTGCTAGCAGGTTAGACTATATATAATACTGAAGTTAAAGTTACTGATAATTTCTGTACTGTTGTGGGGATTTAGGTTCAGCAATAATTTTTTGGATTTAATTTATTTACAGCTTTGGTCTTTTTGAAGCCATGTCTGCTATTGAGATGATGGATCCCAAGATGGATGCTGGCATGATTGGAAACCAAGTTAATCGAAAAGTTCTCAATTTTGAACAAGCTATTAAGGTAGTCACCATTATAATTTTTTGTTTTCTGTGACCTTTTATGTGTTAAAACATGCTTAATAAATCAATATATTAATTGAAAGTATATTTTTTAGAAGAACTCAAATATATAAACAAAAATTAGATATGGCCTTTTAAGTTATCCATGTATTGAAATCTGGAAATGAGTTACTTGAAGTTTTCACTATAAAGTCATTTTAAATTTGCATGTTGGTATATTTTAAAATCAATTTTTGAAAGCATTTTGAGTATTCAAACCAAGGTAACTGGCATAGAGATTGCATGTGATGTATTAATATACTGAGCAAATGGTTATGGTTATGCATTTATAATTTACTCAATGAGAAGTGATTTAGAAATTTGCCATTGCCACAAAGTTTAATTGTACATGTTTTATGACCATATTGACTGGCAAATAGATATTACAGGCAAAATTTACAAGTAGTATAGTTAATCAATTTCAGAAAAGTGCATTTTTTTTTTGTAAGTAGTTTTAAGTTATTAAAGTACTCATTTGTTAATTCTTGAACTAACTTGAACTGTGCTGTTAAAATATTTCTTGATTTTGTTTTTTCATTTCTTTTTTGATTCTTTTTTTGGTATAAGGTCTCACTATATTTTCTCTATAACTGTTTGTCAATTAAAAATAATATTTTTAAGAATACAGCATCAACTTAGCATTCTTGATTTTATTAACGATAGGGCAGAATTTTCTTACAGTTGCTTTTTACATAACTAAGTTTTGAAACCTAAAATGATACTATATATAGTAACCATAAATCTAAATTTCTGCTTAAATATCACATTTCCTCTCCTTTTTTAGGATGGCACCATTAAAATTAAAGATCTCACCTTGCCCGAATTGATAGGGATAATGGATACATGTTTTTGCTGTTTGGTAAGAATTAAAATAAGATTGTTGGTTCATTAAAAGTCTATGACTTACCTGACTCTTTAAATCTAAAATACACACCAGTGGTGAACACACACTATGTATAATGTTCAGTCTAGTGATATGTATACACGATTGTCAGGCCAGTTCATACCACAGAAAATAGCACTTCATCTTTCATCTGGGTGCTTCTATGGCTCTCATTTTCTGGGCAAATACCCAGTGTATCCTTTTTGTTTTCCAGTAACCCAGAGAAATAAATCTTATTGTGAGTTCCATAAGATAAGAATTATTGAAACAAACACAGATTTGGATTGGCCTGGAAAAAATTCTTTTCTACTAGTCTAGGATAACTTGTGGTAAACAGAAGATCTTCTGTGAAGAAAATATTTTAATGATTTATCTTTGCTGGATATATGTCTCCTTTAGGCAGTATTGTTTAATTGTGGAAAATTTTCACTTGTATTGCCCCTCCATCTCGCCATCCTTTTTGATGTTAAATTATTATCATTAGAAATGCATAGCATTTACTCATTTATTCATTCAGCAAGGATTGATTGCCAAGTGTGTTAGAAGTACACCTTAGTTGTTTTATATGCCTAATTCTTTCCACTTAGGTTGATATCTGTAGCTACCTGTATTTTCTTTCTTTCCTTTTTTTTTTTTTTTTT